CAAAGACCCAACCACCAAAGGCGCCAAAGCATCCATCCTCCGCCGCAAGAAGCTCCGCAAAACCATCAAGATCGGCCTCGGTCTCGACACCTGCCTCCTCAGCCCCGACCCCACCACAAACCAACAACAAGCCGTCATCGCCATGTCCGGCAGCGACCAATCCATCGAGCTCCTCACCCTCGAATTCAACCCTTCCACAAACCGCTACAACCATTTCCAAATCTACACCTCCCTCCGCGACGTCCACCCCTTCTCCATGACCAAGCTCTGCTTCTCCCGCTTTCACTCCCCATCTCTGCCCGTCTCCCCCGAAACCCCCCCGCAATACATCAAACTCGCCTCCGTCAGCATGGGCAACACCGTCGTCGTCCACACCCTCCCCTTATCCCCCTGTCCCCCTTCAAGCCGCTCCCCGCGCTACGTCCTCTCCATGCCCGGCGACTCCGAAATCTGGACAAACCTCACCTCCAGCTTCGCTGCCATTCTCTCCATCCTCACCGTCTGCTTCATTCTCCAGGCCTTCACCGAGATCCGTGGCGCCATGCCTCCTTACCTCGGCGCGAAGGACTGGTTACCGCCTAGTATCCGCGATGCTGTCGCTATTCCTTATGAACCTTTTACAACTTCTCCTGCTCCTTCTCCATCTATCCCTACTACCAGTTCTACTCCCATCCCGGAAGTAGAATACCCCGCCCATATCCGTTCCCTGAACGATATTCTACTCTCCTCGAGTAGCTCCCAACAGCAGCAGCAGCAGCAACAGCAGGGGCGTCAATCCCTCCTGATAAACTGCAATCCGGAGACGAATACCCTTCGGATCGACTCGACTGATCCATCTTCATCTTCCTCTGAGACCGATTCAGGTATCCATATCTGGGAAGATCTCTCCGAGGAGACTCGGCACCGGTGGATCAGTCAGCTCACGCAAGCGGGGTATGAGCCATCTGGTGAGGATTTTGATGTGGAGTCGATTTTCAAGGGGGTGAGGTTTGGAGAATTGTGCACGGAAGTGCCCATTCATGAGGAGTTGTGATGCCGTTTCTTATGTTTTTGTTCCCTTTTCTTTTTCTTCTATATCATGGCTGGTATGTGTGTATGTATGTGTGGATGTGGGCCTGATGCAGGGTAATGGTAGGTGGCTATGATTGTGGTTGTGGTTGGTTATTTACGTTGCACATGTTGCCTTTCTTGGATGTGGTGCTTGCTGGTGCCGATGATTGTTTATGAATAGCTCTTTTCTTCTCCATTTTCTTTGTTTTCTGCCTTTCTGGTCTTCTACTATACCTATGATTGTACGCTATCATGCTCCGTGTTCCATTCAACTGTACTATTATCATTGACCCGTGGGCCGCTGGTAGTTATTATGATCACAGAAAGAAATATAGTATCCTCTTTTTTACTAAGTCCCCTGGTTCCCAAGTACCCTCCTCTAGCTCGCTTCTTTTCAGCTGCATCAGTTGACCATCAATATTTTTTCTTCCCTCCTACTTTTCTTCTCTTCCTTTCTATACCGTTCAGACGTAGCTCCTAAAAAGCTGCTCACAATGCAAGTATTCCATCATGGACTCGTCAATTGAAACAGACATGACCGGGTACATGAGGGTAACAAATCAGACTTTTGGTGCATGTTCATATACCAGAGCATTTCAGCTCATCATCGATCTTCAGTACTCAGAGACACATTTTTGTGCATCGTATTTCAGATCTCCCTTCTTTTTGCATTTCTTTGTCTCGGAGATGCAGTTTAAGATCAGCTGCACGCATACATCAAGTGCCGTCTCACAGGCATGGTTCGGAGCATCGAGGAACCGCACAGCGGGAAGGGTGGGATAACCAGATTAGTTGCGAATGTAAGAGGAATCACAAAGTGGAATCGACTCCAAGAAAGAACGCCAAATTACCTATGCCGAGTCTGCAGACGACAGAGCTGTGCAATGAGGATATCACAAGTAGAAATCGAGTTGCAATGCAGGTCGTTAGGGGGCAGCAAAAATCAACCGGAGGCGCGTAAATGTGACCCATATGTGCGTGAAAACAAGATCTGGTGTAAATCATAAGAGGAACAAGGCAACCGGCAGCGACCTTGTGGCTACCGACATCGCCATTGCACATTCTCCTCTCCACAGTTAATCACTGTCCGCTGTTCTTCTTCCAACGGAGCAGCTCCGCCAGGCTCGCGAGGCTGCAGCCCAACTTGAGGAAGTCATGGGCCAACAATTCATCGGCAGTAGCACGGCTGCGCACATCGACACAAAGACATACACTCAAGAACGACTTGAGCTCCTTGCTGAGCTTCTCTGGCTTCTTCAGACGAGGAGTGCCGTTGGTGGCGATGAGGTACAACGCCTTGAGCGGTTCCTCATTGAGGTATGGGGGCTCGGATTCGATCATTTCGATGGCCATGATACCCAATGACCAGCAGTCCACCTTGGGGCCATACTCCTTTTGCTTAACCACCTCGGGCGCCATCCAATACGGAGTACCGACCATTGTGGCGCGCTTACTCTTCGACTCGGTGAGCTTAGCACAGAATCCGAAATCGGCTAAGAAGTGGTCAGCATCAATTTCCCAGGGTCATTAGAGAACTGGGAGGGTTACTCACTAATCTTGACATGACCAGCCCGGTCAAGAAGCACGTTATCACTCTTGATATCACGGTGGATAATGTTCTGGCTGTGCAGATGGGCCAATCCCTTGCAGGTCTGCTCGTGGTCCCCATAGTTAGTATCAGTCTCGTAATGGTCGATGTTTATTTACGCACCTCTGCACAAATTGTGGCAATTTGATCTTCCTGGATCACCGGGTTGTTGTCAATGACATCCGTGAGAGCACCACCTTCCATGAACTCCATGACAACCCACAACTCGTTGCTCTGCTCCTGCAGGAACGAGTCAAGGAAATTGACAATGTTCGCATGCTGGCTGTCTTTCATGACAATGATCTCGTTGACAATGAGTTCTTTCCGAGGCTGGCTACGCAAATCCATCTGCTTAATAGCCACCTGGGTACGGGGACCGTACTGCCGGTAAAGCTCCCGCGCAACGCCGGATGTAGCATGCTCCTTAACGCGCGCCACATACACGGATCCGGAGGCACCCTGTCCAATTTTCCGCTGCTTGCTGTAAGACTCGTTCGGGTTATCCTTGGAGACGACAGAACGCAGGCGATCCATGACCTCGTTCTCGCTCATGTTCGACATGCGCACTTCCCTCTGACGGGGCTCTGCCTTCTTGCTCAGGGCAGCCTCGGCTTGGCGGACTCCATCAGGGACATTTGTCTTCGCGGTCTGCTTGTTCGCAATGTTCAGGGGCTTCACAGGCTGAACCGGAGCGGGCAGCTTGCTGGGAGGAGGGCCCTGGGCCGGCTGCGCTTTGACGCCATTGTTCTGAGCCCGTGCAGGGGACTGTCCCTGAGCCGGGTGTCTGGAGCTCGGAGAGGATTGCTCAGCCCTGGCAGAGCCATTGGCGTAGTCTCCAGGCCGCTGTCCGGCGGTCGGAGCGGATGGGGCAGGGCGCTGAGCTGTCAGCTGGCGCGGAGGCTCCTGGCGAGAGGAGCCAGGGGCCTGCGGGGCGGGCCGGCTGGGCTTGTAACGATCATCGGGGGACTGGCCGTAGCCCCCGAGCTCTTGCTTCGCCAAGGGGACACGAGTCTTGGGCAAAGAGGCATTGTATGCTTCTTGGTCGAGCCGGTTCTGCTCCTCCTCCCGCTGACGTGCGCGACGATCCTCTTCCATACGGCGACGCTCCTTATCCGCCAACTCATTCATCCGCTCCAATTGTTGCTGCTGCTCCAAAGCACGATCGGAATCCGACTTGGACTGCGAAGGAGACGAAACAGGAGACTGGCTGGAGTACGACTGGCCACCGCTGTCCAAACGCTGTGCGGGAGCAGGCGGCGGGGGTCTTGGGGGTGCAATTGAGTTGCCCACGGACCCGCCGCCGCTGAACGGCTTCGCCTGCTGGTTCGCCGGCGAGGAAAGCCCAGCATAGTACTGAGGGTTCTGCTCGCGCATCTTAATGTCGGAGTAGAATTCCAGCACCTCAATAACGGCCTGGGGGTTCTTCTTGTAATCCTCCTTGGTGATTGCGGACGCGGTCAGGAGCTTCTCCCACTCTGGCGGCAAGCCCACGAAGGCGCCGGTGCGCGGATCGAATCCGACGTGAACACGATGGCTGAAGTTCGTGGGGTTGCTTACCCCTCCCATACCAGGGCAGCGCTCGTAGATCTTGTCGATCCAGTCGTAGATTTCGTCATCGCTCTTGACTTCGCAAGTGATGCTCTTGGTGGGCACGTCGCGGGTGATTACGGCGGTTTTGGAATTCGCGTCCTTGGGGTTGGCGAGACGAATGATCTCGAAAGCCATGCGAGTATCCTCCGATCTCGAGACGCCTGTGACCGCCGTCAGCGGAATGGAAAGCACGATCTTCCCCGTCTCATTCTTGAGAAAGTCGAGACGGAATTCGCGCAAGATCAAGTATCGTTGATTCCACGTCGCCAGAAATTTGTCTTCCTTGCAACGGACATATCCCTCCTTGATAACGGTGACGCCTCCTCCGCCAGACTGATCGGTCTTGGTGCGCGTGAGCGACGGGGTGCTCGTGTTGGGGAACAGCGAAAGGTTGGCCGGACCGGGGGTGCTCGGGGAGTTCAGGCTCATCTGGCTGAAGGAGGTAGCCACGTTGTTGGAGGGGTTGGTAGGCAGGTTGAGTTGTGGGCGGTCGGCTGGGGGCCGGGGGGCAGGCCCCGGATTCATGAATTGGTCTGGGGAGTACATCCTGCGGGCGCGTCAGCAGCGCCCGGAATTGATCACAGGCGAGAACCTGTGAGTTGAATCGAGGCTGAAGGGCCACAGGGGTGGGTAGATAGGTAGGAAAGAGGGGGACAAGGAAATGAAGTCTGGCTCACTTTTCATAAGAGGCCATTAAGCTGGGCCGGAGTGGAAACCGAGACGCGGAACTCCCAAGGAGGGGAAGGGGGGTTCCTCAGGGGGGGGGAGATGAGGGATGAGGGGGGCCAACCGTGAAATCCACGGAGCAAACAATGTGAAGGGGAGGGCGGTCCCGACAACACACCCAGATTAATCTCCAGGTGCACTTCACTGCAGGCCAGTCAGCATGAGAACTGTGGCATGTGCAAGGCTGGGTCTGTCAATCTGGTGACCCGTGGATGCGGTAGAGCCTCTTCTTCCCCAAGGGAACTATATTCCACCACCTACTCCATAGGCCGCGGGATGATGGAAATGGGACAGGGAAAGCGACCAAAGCTAATTGAACATCTGAACATACCTTGAGGGGTAAACTGTAGGCTTATCTTGACGCAGAAAGGAAGCCTCGCGCCCGCGAGGAAGCTTCGAGCGTGAACTGCACGTCTCGAAGGTGACAACCCCAATATCCAGACGCGGTGAGACCAGCGGTTACCAACCAGGGCGGCCAAGTACACAATGCAGGAGAGATGCAGGCGATGGCAGAGGGGAGTACCCGAAGCGTGCTGGGGTTCCGATGAAAAGGAGGTGGCGGGTGTGCAAACAATAAACGAGAGTCACGATGCAATAGCGGGGAGTAACGAGAAAACAGAGATGAGGAGGAGGAAGAAGGATGAAAGACTTGAAGAGGAGGGGAAGAGGATAAGGAAGAGGGAGAGAGGGTGTGTGAAGAGGGAGGGAGTAAGTAGGAAGTTAGAAGGAGCACCAACAGGAGGCGGCAAAAAGGGAAGGCCGGCCGTTGAGTTGAACAAAAGGCACTCGAGGTTTCACCACCCGCGGCTCCAAGGGGCGCACGGCTCTACTCTCCTCGAGAATATTATTATTATCTCTCTCGAGGGATGGTGATGGGCTTCCTCTTCAACCCTGTGAAGCAGATCACTGAAATAGCCCCGGAAGATAGAATGAAGTTGGGGGGTGGAGGGGAGAGGAGGAAAAGCAAAGAACAAGACAAGGAAGCGGAGGAATTGATTACTTTTACAAGCAATCCAGCAAAGATAAACCAACTAACAATCACTATTTTGGTAGAAGTAGATACTGTCTTCGGCCCCCCCTGGAATACACCACTTCAATAATCCTGTTGGTTGACCACAAACGGAGTAGGAGAGGGTCACCAAACAACGATCGATGGGTCCTTGACTTTGATCATAATGGATTGTCGTGGGCATGTCTTGGGAGGTTTCATATACAAAGCTAAATCCGAAGCAGCAAACAGCCAGGGCTCTTCGCTCCCCTGATTGTGATGATGCACAATTAACCTCTCCATCCCAGTAAAAGAGGCGCCCTTACGCATTTCACTGCGAGTGAAACTACGAGAGGCAATTGATCAAGTAGTAGTTCCTTTCCAATGGAATGGATGGGCATCATAGTACTAGTAGTACTTATCAAGTCCAGCCCTAGAAAGAGTCCAATTGGGCGATGAATGGTTGTTTCAATGACCCCCTCTCAGGCAATTGAGGAGTGTGCATCCTTACTGTCGTATTCCCTATTTATTGATTGAATGATTGATTGATGGTCACTTGCTTGATTCTCCTCGAAATCATTACTATGCATGCGTCAAATCGGAGATAGAGAAACTTGGCCAACGGGACCCAGATTAAGGGGAGCCAGAAAAAGCGTACGCCAGAGCCACTCCACTTGGATTGCAGTTGCTTGTCGGTTCGAATCAGATTGATTAATGGTCAGGACCGAATTACATCATCCGCGCGGATGGCCCCGACAAGCCATGCTATATCGCTAAATTCTCCTAGTCTTGAGGCTATTCAGGGCTCCTCGGCGTCTCCTTGCGGTCCCAAATCAATTTAGATGGGTAAGCAAGAAATCTTAATCCTAACCCTCACCCAACAAAGCCACCCACGGGTTGCCAGCCAGCCAGCTGGCCAAATAGACCACATACCCTGCACATAGAATCCTGGTCAAGTAACAGCCACCAGTGAGGGTAGAGAGAAAGAGGGACCCACGGGTCGGTGGTCTCGAGTCTCCAACAGCGAGAAAGAAGACGGAGAGAGCGAGAGAGAAAGAGTAGAAAGAGAGGGTCGCAAAGAAAGGGAGACCCACCAGCGGCCCTGATTTCCCGCCCCTTTTTTCAGGTCAAGCCCAACTGCACTGGAATTGATTGGATCAGACCAGCAGCTCGCTTCAGCAACAGTCCATGTCAATTGTGGTGCTGCTGCATGTGCAGATGGAACTAAGGCTTCTTTCATGCATCTCATCGTTTACTAAAAAGGCATTGTGATAATTTTGGTCTATTCATACAGATTTGGACATTAACTATGCTACATGTTTTACCCCTAGCCCTCCTCCTCTTCCAGGCCACACATACACTTCGGTATTCTGTATAAGTACATGTGGTGTGTAGTCAATCATAGTGAGTACGTAAATCAGCGTTCCTCCCCAAATGGATGGTTGAATTTCAGCAATCCATTCAAGCCTCCAACCCATCCATCGTGTGCTTCACCACCGGTGATTCTTCGCATGACACATGGCACGCCTCCTTGCCATTCATTCTTGCCATGTCGCATCTCTTCGTCCCATACTCGTGCCTCCATTCCCGCGGTCAATCCTTGCCCTAAGTTCACCCCGTCAATGCTGACCTCCAGCTCACGACTCCGGTTCTTCTCGCTCAGTCGGAGGGTAATCGGAGTACTGGATGGCAGCACCAAGGGCCGGAAGCTTAGACTCCGCGCACAGATCGGTGTTAGTAGAACCGCAGGCACGAGTGGATGCACAATACTGCCTCCACTGCTCAGACTATACGCTGTGCTACCCGTCGGTGTTGAGATAATGATTCCGTCGGCCACGGCTTCCGTCAGAAACCGGCCCCCAACATAGACATCCAGCACCGCCAAATGTGGCTCTTTGCCTCGATGCAAGAGTACCTCGTTCATTACGTACACTCCCTGGTTATTCAAGACGTTTGGCATGGCCGCTGATGTGGATTCCCGTTGGACTGGCTTGCCGTCCGCCGTAAAGAGCCCAACCTTCAGTCGGTTGCGCATCAAGATCCGGGCACCGCGCGTTAAGCCCATCGACTTCCCTCGTACCGAGGACCATCCAGTAGGATTCGCTTCCAGATCCAGCGTTTCGTCGGCTGAGGCCGGCCGGGAGTCCCCCAGCACCGTCGCGCGATCCCCAACTCCGGCTCCTGACATGTATACCTCGCGGAATGCGCGCTTGTATTCGGCAAATTTCCATTCGCTCAAGAAGCCCAATGTTCCCATGCTGAATGACAGCACCGGCGGGACGTTGTAGCACGTGGCAAACAAGGACGAGGCATGCAGAATCGTACCATCTCCCCCGAGAGTAACGGTGAGATCCACCTTATCATGCAAGGCCGGTCGTAGTTGGTCGAGAGGGGCGGTGTAAACAGGCGACTGAAGTGACGAATGTATTTCCTCTGCGACACTGGGTTCTAGGATGATCGAGGCCGATGGGTAGGTAGACGTCGCATGACTACATCACCAGTGAGGGGTTAGCATCCATGACGTCTCGGTCAGCCGGTATGGGGACTCCGTACTTGGCAAATTCAATTAGAGAGGCAGTAACGGCCGGAGAATAGTCTTTCTTCACGACGAAGATATTGCGCGGGGGTGCTGGCCATTGGAGGGAAAGGAGATCGCCCTCTTGGGATTCTGCTCGGGGCGCACAAGCAGGTCAGCATACCAGGAACGGCTTCAGGGTGTTTCGCAGACGACACTGCGTTGACGCACACCTTGGTATTTTGGTATCAGTCGTTTTGGTAGAGTTGCAACATCTCTAATCTCGTAACATCGTGAGGAGGAGGAAAAGTTCCGTGACCAAAGCATCCGAACCGGAGGCCCGACATGAGCAAGCCGTGGTCGCATACTCGCAAAATGCATTTTTAGTAGTGGATGAGATCGAAAAAAAGGCCGTGCACACTCTTCTAGAAGACCTATATCAGCTCACATCGAGACTTGTTGCTAAGCTGTGACTGAAGCGCTCACATTATCAATCTAGGCCTGATTTATTGTTCCATACCAGCATGTGAGAGAAGGTTGCGCGGGACCTGACATGCAGGTTTAGTTGAGAGGAGTAGACATATGCATAAATATTCTTGCAACTTCTATAAGAATCTTATTGTCCTTAAAACAGAAACATATATAGGAAGAGAAAGAAAATTATGCACAGAGGAGAAGTTTCATCTATCTCCGAAGCGTCAAAAAGACTCCTGCAAGCGTGATGCCGATCGAGACCCCCGGATCTCCGCTGACCGCCTTGAGGGGAGGGCCGGGCCAACTGACGTAGTGGTTTTTAACTGGGGAGATCATTGATCATGCGCCCACACACTATTGAGACACTTGAGAGCTGTGCTCCGGCTCAAGCTTCCTACTCCCTCGAGACAGGAACCAAACTTCTCTCCCGTCTTTCTTCTCTCTCCCTCTCAAGTATTCTTCCCCCCCAAAACATGGCTTGATTCTACTTCATTTTTACATCTCCCACATTATCATTATCCCCCCGGTATACGTCCCGGCTTCCGTTAGTCCCTTTGTCCTCCGATCCCTCTTGACCTTACAACGAAACACTGCTGGCCTTCCGGCAGACACCGCTTTTCCTGGTACAGTGTGCTGCATCTGGTTGCTCGCGTGATCCAAGGGTGGGAAAGCTAATCAGTGCCCGATCCAGTTCCATTATCTCTAGAACTTTATCCTCCCTTATATAGTTGGCCTGCAAGTCCCTTCGTAACGCCTCGTCGCCAACAACTGAATCTCATCATGGATACCTCCGAGGTTCGACAACGAAAGCACGACCCTCAGCTGAATCACACAGCCGCCTCGAAGAAGCAGCCTTCCGACAGTCAGGATGAGGAACCCCGTTTGAAGCATGGCATTGCGATGCAGCTTCTCCGCTCTTTGCTCCTGGCAACATGGTTCAACTGCTGCTGCGTCGCCATCCTAGCGACCCAGGTCATCGGCTCCCCTCTATACGTGATAAACAAGGATTGGTATTATTCCTATATGGCATACACAAAGCAGTCCTTTGGCTTGGTCATCACGGCTCTCACTCAATGGGGCTGTCCTACCTTTGTGCGAGTCAGCGGTGACAAGAGTGTACGGGGTCAGGTCCACGTCGCAGAGGATGGGCGCTTAAAGACCCAATTCCCAGAGCGAACGGTCCTCATAGCCAATCACCAGGTGTATACTGATTGGATCTATCTGTGGTGGGTGGCATACACGAATACGATGCACGGCCGCATCTTCATCATCCTGAAGGAATCCTTGAAGTACATTCCTATTATCGGCCAGGGTATGACCTTTTACGGCTTTATTTTCATGGCCCGCAAATGGTTGTCCGACAAGCCTCGTCTGCAACATCGATTGGAGAAGCTGAAGACTCAACATACGGGATCGCAGTCAGGGTCCCCGCAATATGACCCCATGTGGCTTCTGATCTTTCCCGAGGGGACAAACCTATCCATTAACACCAGGCGGCGGAGTGCAGAGTATGCCGCAAAACAGGGACTGTCCCCCTTGAAGCATGAGCTGATTCCCCGCTCCACTGGTTTATTTTTCTGTCTACAGCAGCTGCGCGGGACGGTGGAGTGGGTCTATGACTGCACCGTAGCCTACGAAGGACCTCCGTAAGTACTCGATGCGCTTGCTTGCAAGCGAGTGAGCTTTTTTTCACTAACTACTATCCTCAACAGAAAGGGTAGTCTACCTGACAAGTACTTTACCCTTCGGTCGACGTATCTGCAGGGGCGACCGCCCACTTCGGTCAATATGCATTGGAGACGTTTTGCTGTGTCCGAGATCCCTCTGGATGATCAGCAAGAATTTGACTCGTGGCTCCGCGAGCGTTGGATTGAGAAGGACCAGTTGCTTGAGGAGTACTACGAAACAGGGAGGTTCCCGTCCGAGCTGGCTGGGTCTATCGAGGTTGGGCATGGATTCGAGGACCGGAAGACTGCCGCGGCTGCAGGGTATGCTGAGGCACATGTGCGGTTGGGACACTGGGCCGAGGTCGGCCGGATATTCATGGTGCTTCTAGGCGCGGTGTTCCTCTGTAAATTGCCCAAGCTCCTGGGATTCTAATGTGGGAATGCCTTCTTGGCCGTGGATCGATGTTGCCGTTACGTGCTATGACCGACACTCTAACCAACCCGTTGCATGACATGAGCAGATGCGCTTAGAGTATTATTATGACTATTTTTCAGTTACTGGCGTGATGGGTCTCACTTGGATAGATGCCTCTCTTCTCCACTGTATTGCTTTGGACGTGGTCTTGGGCAGTTTTTGATTTCCTCTTCTACTATATCAATATAGCTTTCTAGTGTAATCCATATATAGCACCGAGCAGGTGTATTAGATGAAACACTATTTATTGACAAAATTTCAATGGAACGCATGATAGCCTCTCCATAACATCTATACATATAAGCTCAATTCTCCACTATGTTCTATTGATCTAAGATACATTATTAAATAACTTGGTACTGTGTAAACACAAACATACGGAGAGTGCCAGTGGGTGAATGACAAGCCACAGCTGGCTAGCGGGCGGTGGCGGTGTAAACTCGGACCGGCCAGCCTCTCTCTCTCTCTCTCTCTGTGTCTCTCATGCCAAACCTCCGGAGCGCTTCAGAAACCATCGATCTCAATCTGCTGTCACCACAGATTTGGTCCTCTGACTGCTACAAACTCAGGAGCGCTCTTCTTGCTAGTCACCCGGCAAGAAGACACTTCTTTTATCCGCGTCTTTTAACCCCCCGCTCTAGTTTGGCTTCATCCCGATCATGAGTTGAGCTGAACTACGAGCCAAGCTCCTTTCACCTCTCCGAAACAGTCGCAATCCTTCCCATTGCCCCATCTACAACACAACACATTGCTCAAAGCAGTGCCCGCACACGCCATGGCGTCCCTTCAGAATGGCCACGCCAATGGCACAAATGGCGATTCTCTTTCAGCGGCCAACCCGTTGCCCAATCTCCGTTTTTTTGACATTCCCTCCGCCATCGACATTCCCGCGTCCACCCTCGACAGTGAAGTCGAGGTCAGCCTAGAGATCCTTCCAGATGACCCAACCGAACTCTGCACATTGTTGGAGAACGAAAAGGCCGCTAAGAACTTCTGGGTCACGATCGCGCTGGCATACGCCAAGCAGAAGCAACTTGATCATGCCATCGACATCTTAAACAAAGGTCTCGCGTCGGTCGCTCATGGAGCTACGAAAGAGAAGCTCGGCCTGCTGGGATGGGTTTGCTGGCTGTTGATGCTGAAGAGTCGGAATGCCCCCCGCGTTGCCCCCGAGGGAGAATTGTACACCGAGGCAAAGACGAAGGATCATTATCTCCAACTTGCGACGTCAACTCTGAACGAGGCTTCACGACTGAATCCGGCATTCCCCCCTCTGTTCCTGGCGCGAGGTGTCCTGTCGCTGCTGCGCGCGTCGCTACACCCACCCCGTCCTGTTCGTCCGGGCACCGTTGACACATCCGAGAGGGTAGAATCGCTGCGGCAGGCGCTCAAGTGCTTCGATGAGTCGTCCAAGGCTTTTGGTGGTCGAAATGTCATGGCCATCCTTGGGCGCGCGAGAACGCAATACTTGCTTGGCCGATACGCTGAGGCCCTAGAAGGCTACCAGAAGGTGCTGATGAAGATGCCCAGTTTGACGGATCCCGACCCGCGAATTGGTATTGGCAGTTGCTTGTGGCAGTTGGGCTTCAAAGAGCAGGCCAAGGTTGCTTGGGAGCGAGCTCTGGCGTTGGTGGGTTCCACACAGATTCCACTCGTACCATTTCCTTGTTTACTAACCGCTTGACTTTTTGTTGCGAAACAGAACCCTGACTCCAAGGTCGCCAACATTCTCCTCGCAGTATACTATCTCTACGACAGTTCACGACATGCCACGACAGACCCGGCCTTCGGTTCATTGTACAAGGTAGCAATGACCCAGTACACGCAGAAGGCGTTCAAATTGGACAAGGAATACCCCATGACTTGTTCTCTGTTTGGCGGGTACTTCCTCCTCCGGAAGGCTTACTCCACCGTCGAGACCCTGGCCCGTAAGGCCATCGAACACACCGATGTCATGCAGATTGCCAGCGACGGCTGGTATCTCCTTGGTCGGAAGTCCCACTATGAAGGCGACCTGACGCGCGCTGCGGAGTATTACAACCGCTCCGACCAGGCTCGTGGCGGTGGTGAGAAGGGATACCTCCCGGCCAAGTTCGGCACGGTACAGATGCAAGTGTCTAACAAGGACTTTGACGGAGCCAAGTTCCGCCTCGAAAAGATCATTCAGCAGACGAAGAATGCCGAATGCATGGTTCTGCTCGGCGCGCTCCATGCGGAGGAGGTCTTCGCTGCGCAGAGAAGCGGCAGCAAGGAAGACAAGTCGGCTGAGATCAAGAAGGCCATCAACCTTCTGGAATCGGTTCGCGCCCTCTGCAAGGACGAGACCAAGAAGATCTCGCCCGACGAGTCCGTCTTGGTGTACCTGGCCCGGCTGTACGAGCAGAGCGCTCCCGAGAAGAGCATGCAGTGTCTCACCCAGCTGGAGGAGATGCAGCTCGCAGAGGTCGCAGAGGAGGAGCGCCCCGAAGGCGTCGAAGATGAAGAGCAGGTCAAGGCAGCTCTCCGCGTCCACCTTCCCCCGCAACTCCTCAACAACATGGGATGCTTCCTGTATCAAGCTGAGAAGATCGAACGGGCCCGGACCATGTTCCAAGCAGCGCTGGATGCCTGCGTCCGATCCAAGGAGAAGGAAAGCGAGCTCGACACCGACGCGCTCGTCACCACCATCAGCTTCAACCTGGGCCGGACCTACGAGGCAGCCGACATGCCGGAAGAAGCCAAGAAGGTGTACCAGGGTCTTCTGGAGCGTCACGCTGACTACACCGAGGCCAATGCACGCTTGACGTACATCGCCCTGCGCCAGAGCCCCACAGACGAGGGACCGAAGAAGATGGCCAAGCTCTACGAAGCCGACTCGACCAACTTGGAAGTGCGCGCCCTGTTCGGCTGGTACCTCAGCAAGTCCAAGAAGCGGGCAGCCAACCTGGCCGAGGACCACGAACAGCGCCACTACAAACACACCCTGCAATACTACGACAAGCACGACCGGTACTCCCTGACGGGCATGGGTAACATCCACCTGTCCACAGCGCGCGACATGCGCCGCGACAGCGACCAGGACAAAGAAAAGCGGCGCAAGATGTACGAGCGGGCCGTCGAATTCTTCGACAAGGCCCTCCAACTGGACCCTCGCAACGCATACGCCGCCCAAGGTATCGCCATCGCCCTTGTCGATGACAAAAAGGACCACGCTTCCGCCGTGCACATCTTCTCCAAGATCCGTGACACATTACGCGACGCCAGCGTCTACCTCAACCTCGGCCACGTCTACGCCGAGCTCCGCCAATACACCCGCTCGATCGAGCACTACGAAGCCGCACTGTCCAAAGACCGCGCCCGCGACGCACAAATCCTCGCCTGCCTCGGCCGCGTCTGGCTCGCCAAGGGCAAGCAAGAGATGAACCTGCAGGCCATGAAAACCGCCCTCGACTACGCGCAGCGCGCCCACTCCGTCGCTCCGGGCCAAGTCCACCTCGAATTCAACGTCGCCTTCGTCCAGAACCAAATCGCCTCCCTTACCTATGGCCTCCCGGAAACGCAAAAGACGGTCCAAGACGTCCAAGACGCTGCCGAAGGCCTCCAACAAGCCGTGGAGACCTTCAACCGTGTAGCTCAAGCCAAGAACCCACCATACCCATCCAGCGCCTTAGAACAGCGCGCCAACATGGGCCGCACCATCCTGAAGCAACTCGAGCGCGCGCTCCAAAGCCAAAAAGAATACGAAGAGAAGAACGCCGCCAAGCTCCAACAAGCGCGCGAGGCGCGTGAAGCCGAAAAGCGCCAGCGCGAAGAAGAAGTGCGCAAGGCGCAGGAAGCAGAGCGTGAGCGCAAACAGCGTGTAGCGGAGGAGCGGCAGCGCATGATCGAGGAAGCGCAGCGATTGGCGGAGCAGCGCGCGGAAGAAGAACGTGCGCGTGAGGAAGCGGAGCTTACCACTGAGTCGGAGACGGGTGCTAAGGTTAAGCGCAAGAAGAGGACGACGTCTACTAAGCGCAAGAAGAAGCGCAATGAGGACGACTTCATCAACGATGGAGGCGATTCTCCTTCCAGGGAGAGGAGCTCGGAACCGGACTCCGATGGCGAAGCGGCGGCGGCACCGAAGAAGCGCCGGCGTCTGGAACGTCGGTCTGGTAGTAAGGCGCAGCAGAGCAAGTACAAGAGTAGTGAGATGGTGGTGGATTCGGATGACGAGGAGGAAGCGGGTGATGAGGATCAGGCGATGCGTGATACTGGGGCGAATGATGACGAGGATGAAGAAGAGCAGGATGTGGTGCAGCGTCGTCGGGCCAAGGTCAGTCGACGAGTGGCTGATGATGATGAGGATGAGGATGAGGATGAGGATAATGGGGCGGCGGTGGCTGGAGGAGGGGGCGAAGGGGCCACAACTGGGGGCGATGGGGGCGAAGACGATGATGATGGATTGTTCAATGACGATGGTGGTGATGATGATATGGATCTGAAGGAGGATGAGTGAATAAGTGAGTGAGTGATCTAGACCTTACTTACTTACCTACCTACCTACCTACTACCTTTTTAGGAGCTTGTTTGTTGGGTGAGAGCAGAAGGACCGTGTAGTTTTATGGATGGTTGTGCCTTGCTTGTTATCTTTCTCTATATTGTTTTTTTGTCCCCCTTTCATTCCAACTTTCCATTCATGTATTTGAAAAGATGGCGTTGGGATTGGATGTTCGATACTTCAGATATTATTATTACTCCTACTACTTACTTATATCGGTACTTACTACGGGGGG